GCGATTGCCTACAACAACCAACCATACATCAAGTAATTTTTGTTAGCGGAGTTGGCACATTATTTCTCGATTGCTCTTTACAATACATATTTTTCGTAGTAGATAATAATTACTAAATCGATTCTGAATATGAAAGCGTCGCGTGTTTCTAATGACAATAATGATTCCGCTTTATTTTATAAGAAATGTCGATACATACCCTGGTAATGTAAATGTAATAGGGTATTGTAGTCGAAAATGTTTACACGCTATTAGGAATTAATTTTGTCCAGGAAAATAATGAATGTTTGTTATTATCAGTGTTTTAAAATAAACTTGTTGATAAAAGTTAGTTCGTCATCACAAATTCAAAATTCAATTTTAGTTCAAGAAATTATCGTATACCTGTATGATAAAACCATAAAATAGGAAAAGTATTCTTAAGAAAGGGAGGGGTATCCCTGGGTATAAAAATTGTATGTGACCCAAAAGTTAAATCGATGACTCTTTTCATTTAAAAATCTACTTTTCAGCCAAATTTATTTATTTTAATTTATTTCTTTATTTATAATTACATCACCAAAACAGCTTATGCCAATTACAGGGTGACGGGAAAATGTACAACAAACAAAAATAGGTGAGAACATAAAAGTAAACATTTATACAAAAAAGCATCAAAATATGTTGTATATAGTAGGTACTGGTATGATTAATGATTAATTATTAATGAAAATGTTAAAGAGAAGTGATCCTAATATTGAACCTTGGAGTACACCGTACTTTTGTAAAAATAGAGCTGTTTTGAAACCTTTATATTAAACAAACTGAAATCTTCCATTTAGACATGACTGAAAGAGAGAAATTAAATTTGGGGATAACCCGTAAAAGATACGTTTATTGACTAGTAAACAGTGGTTGAGCTTATCAAAGGCTTTACTAAAATCAGTGAATATAACATCTACTTGACTTTGTTGATCTAACTTTCCACTGACATACTGACTAATACAAGTCAGGTTGAATACGGTAGATTTTTTATTCATAAAGCCATGCTGGTATAAGGTATAGCCATATTAGGCGAGACATGTGGTATGATAATGAGTGGTGTAACAAAATTTCAAATATTTTGGAAAAATTATTAATAATAGTAATCGGCCTATAGTTGCTAACAATACTTATATTTTCTTTTTTAAATATAGGCATAACACGTACCTAACAGTTTCCAGGAATTTGGGAACGCAGCTAAATTTGTTATCACATTAAAAATTGCACATAGGAGAGGTGCTAATGCATAAACACAATCTTTACTAATTATAAAGGCTGGAATTAAATCAGGTCCCGTTGTCATAGATGACTTCTATTATTTTATGGCATTTATGACTTCATCCTCCGAGAAATTTAATATGTTTAAATTGAGAATATCAATATCTACATACAGGAATTAGAGTCAGAGAAAGATTTGGAAAAATAATCAGCAAAACTGTCAACTATTTGTTGAGGATCGTCAATAGTATTATCTTCATATACAATACATAATTTCAGTTGGTATTGATGATTTACCTTTCTTTCCGTTTACGTATTACCAAAATTTTTTATTGTTATTCTTCAGTTCATTTTCAATATTATTTAGGTAAAGTTGATGAGCAGTTTTTATATTGTGTTTTAATTGAGATCTTATAGTTTTTACACGTTGTTGACTATTGAGTCAACCACATTTTTTATAAACTCTATACGTCCTTTCCTTATCCTTAATCATTCAAATTATTTGGCCATTTACCAGGGTGGATATGTACGAGAAGGGGTAATCTTTTTTGGAGTGTGCCTTTTAAGAACCGATGTAATTTTATCTAAAAAATAATTTGAAGCTATTTCGGGATCACTAAGCTGACTAATAAATTTCCAGGCAGTGTGAAGTAGTTCAGAATATAGAGCAGGATAGTTACTCTTTTTAAAATTAAGTTGCGATGGTCTGACTTAAAATTAACTGGAAATTGATTATATCTGTTATGAAAACTAGGATCAATAACTAAGGATGGGTGATAGCTGTCTTCTTTAGTAATAATTTCAATGGCTTTGGAGACAGAACAGTTAATATTAGAAAATATTAAGTCCAATAGTCTGTTTTTTGAATTTAAGAAATTATTGAACTGTACCAGGTCAAAAAAGTTGGAGAGATTATTGAAATTACATTCAACATGTCCTATCCTCTAATCTAAATCAGCATTCAAATACAAAAAAGAATAAAATACTAGATAGTCACTCCCTGTATAAACCTCCGCACTTAAAAAAAAGAATAAAATACTAGATAGACACTCCCTGTATAAACTAATTATCTAAAGTTGTGAAAAAACAACTCGGTTAACTTTCAAATAACCTTCAGACACCCGCGACTTCGCAAACAATTAAAAAAAAAGTCACACGAGATTTTTTCACCCAATCATGACTCTCGCGCGCAATCTTAAGATACTAGATAACCAATTAGAAGAAAGCCGGTAAAACCGATACGACCTAACAAGCATGCATGGAAAAACAAAAGACTCACTTTCGCTCAGTCAGTCAAACAAACAACAAGTAAAACTCTTTAAAAGGGCCGGCAGTCGCCGTAAGTTAATTTAAAGCATTTGTGCGATTTGATTTACAGAAGTTAACATGTAATTGATCAATAAATTTATGTAACCAAGTAGTAAATGTGTAAAATGTGAAATCAGCAAGCCGTGAATATATCAAATTCAAATATAGGGTGATAGTTTTATTTGAATAAACCCAGTGCTTCAACCAGAACTTCAAGAGTACCTTCCAGAGGCTACAGGGTGGAGCATAAGGCCTTCACCCAGGTAATCTATTTCGAATACAGTCATACAGTCCACCATGATCGAAGGCAGTAAATGTCAAGCCCAATAAAGCTAGGGTGAAACAGAGATTAATAATTAACTTACATTTATGTGTTTCATTTCTTAAATTAACAAATTCTGGAATATTAAAATCACCTAGCATGATAAAATTATGCCCGTATAAACATGTAATGGAGGCAACAAACTCGGAAAAGATTTCATAGTCTTCAATAATAAACAGCCTTAGAATAAATTATTAGTTGTACCACGAGACTAAAGTGCGTTTTAATCCCTTGAGTGATTATTGTCCTCGAACTGCTTGGGCAACAATCTTCACTCTCGGGATTAAAAGTGACACTTTAGTCCCTTGGTGCACTAGTAGCGAGACAAGTGTAGAAGGCTATTAGTTACATGAAAAATATTATCGTGTACAATAAAAAGAAGATGTAAAAATTTTATATTCTATATATATATATATATATATATATATATATATATATATATATAAATAATAGCTATAAAAAATAAACTTATAATAAATCTCATTGTTTCTAAGACTTCTTGTTGCCTTGTTAGGTTACTTCTAATTGCTACCATGTGTTCTTCTGTAAATCCCAATAGATATTTATTTCTATGAGTATTAAAACTAATATAAATCTAAAATTAAAACAAAACCACCAAACCAAATAGCCTTTTTCACCTTCCTCTCTCCATGGATATTGCCTTTGCCTTACTTCTCACTTCACCAGTGTTGCCAATACGCAAACTTGAATTATACGGTGGCTGGGTACAATAGATACGTTTTTTATAAGCCTTTTTAGATTTAACATCTTTGTATTTGAAGATATCAAATTTGTGTTGCTGCCAGGTTCAGCTTTAGGTTTGTGAGATGGAGCACTGCCGACAGAATAAATGTAGCAATGCAGATTCGTTCAGACAGACTGCCAAAAGCCAAAACTTCCAAAGCGAAGTGCATTTCAACAATACCAACAATATCAGTTTGGTGAATACCCGGCTCCGGGCCTGTTCTCATTGGCCAATGACATGAGTGTGGCCTTCTCTAAAATAAGCAGCCAGCTACCAGTAAGCCACTGTTTAATAAAAGTAGAGCAGAAGACACACTGAAACAACTAAGGCCCGTATTTATAAACAAAACTCAGCTGAGTCGGACTTGGGTGAGTCGTCCTTGAACGAAAATCGAAGTTCGGTTATATTGCGTGAATTTAGAGATGGGTATTAATAAATCCGTAAATGTACATAACAGTTACAGATTTGCTAATATCCATCTCTAAATTCCAGTCTAACACCAAAACAACCTAGAACTTTAGAGACGATGTAACCGAACTTCGATTTTAGTTCAGGGACGACTTACCCAAGTCCGACTCAGCTGAGTTTTGTTTATAAATACGGGCCTAAGGTCCATAATTCGTCCTTGAACTAAAATCGAAGTTCGGTTACAACGTCTCTAAAGTTCCAGGTGGTTCCGGTGTTCCACTGAATTTAACGATGGATATTAGCAAATCTGTAACTGTTAAGTACATTTACGGATTTGTTACTACCCATCTCTAAATTCACGCGATATAACCGAACTTCGATTTTCGTTCAAGGACGACTCAGCCAAGTCCGACCTAAAACTTGTCCAAATAAACTCAGTGTCTAAACTTATTTCTAAAATAAATGGAATTCTAAAAAGATCCATAGTTTTTCCCACGGAAATTATACGGAATTTGAAAGAGTTAGAAAAAGATACGCTGACAAGTCAGAATATACGAAAATCGGCAGCACTGCACTTCACGTTCGTCCGGTGTTCTTCGATACGTTCACCGTTATTAAACGAAAATGATTGGCTGCTTTTAAAATGGTCCAGTTACACAAACCAACGGGACACTTTTTACTATATTACTCAAGAGGGACCTTTTTGATTAAATACGATTCCTTTTAACACAATTTTGAATTTTTAAAAACTTATTTAGAATCTTTGTCTTCTAAAATACTCGGATACCAATCTAAGTCGAAATCTGGCCACTTTAAAAAATAAATGATGACTTGTATATTTTATCATTTCGCCAGCCGCAAAATTGTTTGTAATATCCACAAAGATGATTTCTGTAATTCGTCAATGAAAATCTGTTCGACATAAACAAGTCAAAGAGGCTCCTTAAAAATAATATTTTCTTAAAGAATAATACTTACATGAGATTATCGTCAGGACTTGGTCCTACAGGATTTCTTTTAACAGTTACATAACAACAGTGCACACTGAAATAACTATATTCGTTAAGGACTTCTTTGTTTATATTCAGTTCCATTAGATTTCCATTTCTAGTGATGTAAGTTATGAGTGGTTTATCTGTACAGTAAATAGGATTTACTTTGTATAATAAAGCCCTTATTTCTGCACTGTAGACATCGATGTTTTCTATAGTACATCCTGGAGTGTTTATCAGATATGGTTTAGCTAGAAAAAATAATGCAAATAAATATGATTGTACAACACGGTGTGACAAAGTCACTATTTTTTTCTTTATTTTAATAATTATAAAAATGTTTCGTTCAAGTTAATTTCTGTCTATTAGTCGTATTTTTATTTCTTAAAAATTCCCCTTTTTAAACATTTGTGAGAGCTTCCGTAGTTCAAAATATATCATTCTTTACCGAAATTCGAATCCAGCTTTAAACGCTCAAATTGAGGTAAATTATTTGGTCATTTTTGCAAATATCAAAAGTAATTGTATTTTAGTCCTCCGATTCGTAAACACTGGTTACTCCCACTCCAAACCACTCGTAAACCGAACTAGTCCGACCGTAAAGTATAAAGCTGAGATCCCGGCGAATTATTTCTCTTTCCGTGCCGAACTTCCGAATCTTCTTAAGTAAGCCGTTACATTAATACCGTAGATCAGCGTTTCTAAAACTTTTTTGGCGACTGAACCCTTTTGAAAAGCAAAATATTTGACGGAGCCCTAAAATAATAAAAATGGACTTTTAAAATTTATGGTTTAGATAAGTTTTAATTTACTTTGCAACCCAGGGGCATTTTTTTTTTAAAAACAGGTCCTCCATTTTGTTGCGAATTTCTAAAAACAAAAACCGTCCTCAGCTACGGCTGCCGGATCCCGGGAATATGGGAATATTATGACTATTATTTTCGTGGAGCCTCTACAGACGCTTTACGGAGCCACAGGGCTCCGCGGAGCACACTTTGAGAAACTCTGCTGTAGATACTTTTTTAAAACTTCACCGTCTTTGTAAACTGTGGAAAATATATGGTATGAATCTTTCATTATTAGCCCTTACCATAAGGATTTAATTCGTTATTCTCTGGGACGATCGTCGCTTGTTAAATAATAGCAAAGAAATAATTTGTTATAGTCCCAAGAAAATCAGTCTTTACTAGTTCCGAATTTTGTAACGTTTTAGGAATTCTGAACTTTCGTAAGACAGACCAGTCTAGTGATTGCACAGGCTGGTTTCAACGACAGAAGTTCAAGTTTCGCAGCCCAAAGAAATATATTTCCCAACTTTGTACGGAATATCGTTTTGTGATTTCTGAAGTTACTTAAGCAAGTCTAGTGATGGCACAGACTTAATTTCTCAATATCCAAGGTGCTCTGAGTCAATAGACCCTTCACTTCTCCATCAATCAGTGAAATCTTTAATTTACTATATACCGTTGCTGTCTTATCCGTCACTGTATTAAACCACATCTCTTTGAAAACAATCCTTTTATCGAGGACCGTCAATTAAAATTGGGGAATTTTGGTCAAGCTTCATTTTTGCGACCATAATCACGGGACTATCACAATTCATCTAACGCCGTTTTATTAATTTATCGCTAGAAAAATAAATATTGCTTTTCGATAGTTATGGCGATTAAAATATTTAGGATGTTAGAATGAAATTAGTTGTATTTAACTCTTTGATTACTTTCGATACGTTGATTATAGTGTTAATTAACGTCTATTCGGAATACCGTAACGATAGCCGTATCATATATTTATTTTATTTATTGTAAAAAGCTTTAGTACAACGAAGTAGTATTTAAAATTGTGGATTCATTTTTTTATTTCCTCGAGGCTTTTCTTTTGTAAATATCAACGATATGTTAATTATACTGTTAGTTAACCTGGAGGTTATACCGCTGATTGGAAATACTTTTTATTTTTAATTCTACGAAGTATTAATGTCGTAAGTATATTTTCTTTAGGTTAATTATACTGTTAATTAACCTGGAGGTTTATCTGTTGATTTGATCTATTGCTTTTATTTGTATTTACTTCTTCAAAGTTTTAATCGGGTCAATATATTTTCTTTAAGCTAAGAATACTGTTATTCCTTTCACTGCTTTTTAAGAATATCCATCTTTACCGATTTATATTTATTTTCTTACTTTTTTATATAATAATAATAATAAGGAATTTACAATGTTTCTCAAACTTAAATGCAATAAAAATTTTATTTTTCACAATTGTGCAACCAATTTTGGAATTTGCCTCTATTATATGGCAATCACAGCCAGCCGTAAGTATACCTAATTAGAATAGAAAAAATTCAGATATCTTTATTACAAAAAACATAACATTTGGCCGAATTATACACTAACAAGAACTATCGATTTAAAAAACTATTTAAGATTAATCATCTATCCTTAAGAAGAAATATAAATTTATTATCATTTTTACACAAAGTAATTAATGGAAATATTTATTATCCCTATATTCTAAATGTTCCGAAATGTGGAATATGATCTCCTCAGCTATTCAGAATAACCCCCTTTACGGTAACTTGTACAGTAGGCTAGGCCGAAATAGGCATATTTTTAAAAAATATAAAAATTAAGTTTACAATACATATTAAAACTTGGTGTTTTGCTGTGCTTACTTTTCGTAATTTTTTAAAATTTCTAAATCCACATTTTCAACCCTCTACCGCCCCATTTAGATGTGAAAAGATAAAGTTTGAAATTTTGACGTACAATACCAACTGAAAGTTACATTTTAGTCTTTGTATTCACACTCTTTATCTTTAATATTTTTAAATAACATCTTCCACAAATGGTTAGTGGGTAGATACATAACGTGCTCACAAAGCGAGCAGTATAAATAAGTGTAGAAGAGGTTTGGTTGAGAGGGGATGTCCACTCTACTGTGGAATATGGTCCTCATCAGCCGCCTCAATATTGACAGTCACTACACAATAGTACATGCAGATGACCTGGTCATTCTGCAAACAGGGAATTTTGAGAAAGAAAGAAAAAGTGAATTAGCTCTAAAAATTATCGAACAATGGTGCAAGGACCATTCACTGTCTTATCAATCCTGAGCAGACAAAAAAGATCCTTTTCACAAGGCAAAAGATGAAAATGGAATTAAAACCTCCAGAACTCCTAAACACGAAACTAAACTTTGCAACAGAGGTGAAGTACCTAGGTCTCACCTTTGACAGCAAGTTAATATTTAGAAAATAGAGTTAAAAGAGCATACATTGCTTATGAACAATGCCGTCGAACCATGGGGCGCACCTGGTGTTTCTCCCTCAAAGTCGTCGCATGGACTTACACGGCTATCATAAGACCTATGCTAACATACGGTGCAGTTATATGGGTACCGAAAACCCAAAAATTAACAGCTATCCGTAAACTAGAACAAATTAAAAGAACAGCATGTCTCAAAATACCAGGAGCCATGAAAACAACACCGACCAGGACCATGGAAGTCATTCTTAGTCTCACTCCCCTTGATGTTTACATCAAGGAGGTTTCTCTGATGACAATGACACGCGTCCGCACGGTTGGTATATAACCTGATGTAGGATTTGGTGAGGTGAGACGTCGCTTTTGGCAGGAGGCGCTCGATATGCTCCTACTGCTTTAAGCAAACATGGACTCCATCTCACCGAGATATGGACCCAATCTCACCGATATATATCTTCCATAAGTCATATAAAGTTATAGTAAAACAAATAGAAGAGCCGGAAGTGGCAGGTACGATTCATATCTACACTGACGGTTCTAAAACAAAACAAGGCTAAGGATGTGGAATATACTTCAGATTCCTAAACTGGGCTGTGAGCAATAGTGCCAGTGTAGTTCAAACAGAGCTAACGGGAATTCTCATAGCAGCAAAAGAAATAAAGAGAAAGAATATCACTGGAAAGAACATACTCATCTATACAGATAGCAGACAAGTGTCGACTAAAAGGACACGTTAGTAAACTGAGATTAGTAGAAGATAGTGAGTGCAGATTCTGTGAGGAGGAGGACGAAACTTCCATTCACATTCTAACTGAATGTGTAGCACTCCAGAATCCAAGGGCACTATACTTAGGAGCATATCACATAGAAGAGGGAGATTTACCAAACTTGAAGCCACTCCAAATCCTACACTTCCTTGAGAAGATAGGATTGGAAGGGCCATTATAGGCATTGAGACATTTCCTTGCTGCATTAGCGACCGAAGGGGACACAATAGATCTTTTAGGTAGCAGTTTATTAACACCCCATTCCTAACATAACATTACAAATGATATATAAAAAGCTAACACATCAAACAGCAAAAAAACATAGTAATAAAAAATATTTACTGAATTTTAAACTGTCGTTTACTTTCAAATGTTGGCATAATATCTTTTGATTTTATTCTTGAGCGAATAAAGCCGTCTCTTGATTCTGGACCAATTACTAAAAAAGATAACTAATTTTACGCATCTCTCCACGAATTGAGTATGGCAAGAGAACTTCGGAAAATCAAAGTCTGGAATTTCGGTTTCGTTTATAAGGTTCCAAAGATTATCATTGGTAAAATCCTTTAAAACAGGAGGCGGTGTCACATCGCACTCATTCTTGTAAATTAACTTAAAGTAGACTGTAGCACTAAAATTAATTTTTGGTACCACAAAGAGTCTTATTTCAATGGTTTCTTTAAGATTCACAAGTATCTCTTAGTTTACAAAAAAATAAGGTTTTCAGAGTGTATAAAATACGCGTTTCTTTGGATAACCGTATCCACAATACTTTTAAATCATCTCTTAAATACCGTGACAGTTCAATCATGTTAAATACATTCAAACTACCACTAGTTGAACTAAAATTTAGTTTAATATTAAACCACATTGGGGCATACACTTTAATTATGAATTCGGCCATATCCGTAAGGCTTGATGTTGGCTTTTCTGTTCCAGATAGAGTGCCGAAAAACACGATTTGCCATTGTGAATTGTGAGCCATCTAGAGTGCGCTAATTTCCCAGGATTACGGTGTGCTAAATTTGATGAAAAATTGCCGTTTGATATTACATTGCAAATGTAAAATTTACAAATTTTAAGAGGTTCACATTTTTCTAAAGACTTTCCGATTTCATCGGAATATTGACGAGGCCCCACTGTGCTGCTAAAAATATTGTTTTTCCAATTGACTTTGCCGTCCCTGTAGTTGGAGTTGCGTGGCCAATATAGATAGATTCAGGTTCCTTGATAAGCGATATGTGTTCTTCGACAACAGTTTTCTTATATAATCTACCGTTTTTCTTCTCTTGCAGTAAAGTTTTGTCCTTTCTTCCATCAAAATATAGACTTCTTATTCTTCTGTTATCACTTTCAAACTCCTTCCTTGCAGTATTTCTAGATTTATTCTTGTCAACTATTTTCGATGGATCTTCTGTGGTAATTATTGCTACAACTTTTAGTACTGCATTAGCAATCGCAGCAGCTGTTTGATCAGATATACCATATTTATTGCATACAAGACCTGACGTAGGTAACTTTGTTCTCATTTAAGTGTTTTTTGAGATAAAGGGTAAATTTGGATTGATAAAGTCGTCATCTGAAGAGGAATGATATTTTGAGGGATCAGAATCTGATAATAATGTAGTAGTTTAAGAGGTACAGCTGGGTCTTAATGAATTGTAAGATTCTGATTCATATTTTTTTAGTCTTTCGATTTCTCTGGATTGCCTTTGTTTATTCGACAATATTTTCTTTGTTTCTTCACTATCTACATTTCCTATGCTCATTGTTCTAACCGATCTTTGATCAAAACGAAAATTGTGTTCCTTAGTAGGTACTTCGGGTCTTTTTACTCATGCATGCTGAAAAATTGCATTTACAAGCAGCTATGTCAAGTAATTTTTTAAGACACTCTATTTTCAATCCTATCTTTAATATTTAAAGTGCGAGTGATAAAACATTTCGCAGGTGCTAAAACAGTATGCGAGCGCCAAAGTAGCATTTTATGTCTGCTACATTGATTCATAAAATGTTCTTTGTAGTCCGATCTTGCATAAAAAAAATGTATAAAACGAGATTTAATGAAAGGTGCATTCTCTTCGACCTAAATTAATAAATCCTTCATATATCCTCAGAAAACATCATACAACCTTTATACATCCTCAGAAATCCTCATAAATACTCATATCATTATATTCATACATTTTCCGTTATAAAACATGGCGAGGTATCAAATTAACAGTGAAGATCTAATTTATTATTTCTCAGAGATGCAATAAAGGGGTTAAAAAGATGAGGGAAAGAACAATAAATTCTACATATTTTTATTAACCTTTCTAAATAAGTTTATCTAGTTGTATTTGTTTATTATCGTCTTAGCGATCATCTGTGATCTAAAACAGAGGTCTCAATACGTAATGTTAGGTGATGAATTATCTCATATAATCTTCACCCGCTTTGGTATCCCTCATGGCTCCAATTTAGGCCCTATACTAATCTTAAACGGTCTTAAAGTTTTTAAGAATATAAGTATATCCACCCTAGATGACTATCTAGAATCTAGATCTTCGAAATGACTTCGGATTAGTCATCATAAAATAATTACCTACCTTTTAATCTCTCCAAATGCAATGTAAATTACATTCAGTAAAATTCGTAATCCTCAAAATTGTATTTACACAATTCAAGGATCAGCAGGATCCGTACTAGGGGGAGGGGAAGCAAATTAATTTCAAATCTGATAATCTATAATATTTCCAAAGAAACTAACACATTGTTAGGATTTCTGAAAGCTAGCACAGAACTATTGTTCTATTAAGTTGTCAAGTTATCAATATAACAAATATGTTAGGGCTGAAATTTTTTGTGAACATTTATGGTGCAGTTTTTGAGCCTCGTCAGTTATTTGGAGTATTTATGCCCGTGAATTTGTTTTACTTAATTATAAAATTAACTTTTATTTCTATTATATCTATTTTAGTGCAATTTAAACTTTTTTATAATTTTGTGGCAAATAAGTTGATGAAAAATCCTAATAGATCTTCATAAATCCTCGTACATCCTCGAGAAATCCTTATACATCCTCGTAAATCGTCCTTTTTGTCCTACATCCTCAATGGTTTACCCATCGACTCTCCCGTATTACTTATTAAGTGAATAATTTTTAATTTTTGGGTGTTTCGATCAACATTGTTAAAAGTATTCTGATTGTATGTAGCTAAATTAATTATTACCAGTAGCGTTACTTCACTGAAATAAATTTAATAGTATTCATTCCAATGAAATTATATTAAAATTTTTCGTACGTTTATCAAAAACAGTAAATAGGTAATGATTAAAAACAAATACCAAACCTGTTACTATTAAATGTACTTATGCCGTTTTTATTAAAATTACTAATTTATTTCCGTGTAGTAACGCTACTGGTTATTAAATTAGCGCCAGGTAAAATTATTGGAAAGTAAGATGCTTCTTGTGAAAATAGATTTTTGTTGGAAATAATGAATGTTCGGACACTATAAACTAATACCTACTTAACATCTTTAAATGAAATATATACCTACTTACCGCCTACATACCAATTTAAGTACAGCATAAATATACTTACTTACAAAAATATTTTCCTTTTCTTTTAAAATTTCTGTCTCACACAAATTAACATAAATTATATAAAGAATACTGAGTAAAACAACAACACTAAAATAAAATATTCGACGTCCACTAATGTTTCTCACAATAATTGTCATTTCTTTTATGAAATAATAACACCATTAAAACTGTTAGCGGCATTAATCCTTTGGTAAAATATTTTTAGATTAATTCTTAACTGAAGACTAGCACCACGAGTGCCGCAGTTAACTTCTGAAACTGTATACCTGCATCTACTCTACACAGAGTATTAAAACAACTAAACATGATTGATGACTACTACACAGACTACACTGGTGCCTGGTGCTACTAGTCGCAAAATCGAAATGTTGCGTGGCATGGCGCACACGTGATATTCGACGACACTCCAGAAGCCAGCGAGAGCGAGGTAATGGAGGAAAAACAAGTTCAAGATCATTAATAAAAAAATTAAGCTTTTCGTACTATAATTCACTGTTATAAATATAATCGTATACGTGTTTGCGTTGGCGAATTTCTTGTTTTTTAAATCAGCGGCGGAGACGGCTTTAAGATAGCCGGAAAGGAAACTGAAAATCAATACCACATTAATTTTACAAAGGTCGACTTGTTTCGGCGCTAGGGTCAACATCAGCCGTAAGTTATAAACCCATATAAGATTTGCCTTTAACGAAGAAGATCAATCCAAATTTAAATTTTTCGAACTCATCCTCTTGCACAATTGATTATCTTATTCCCAGATAGCATAAATACGTCCTATGGACGTTTTAAAAACGTTCTGCTTGGACATTCAGCACATCCTTACAACGTCCATTTCACGGACATGGACGTCTTTGGAACGTCCATTGTTAATAATCAGGATGTCTTTAGGACGTCCATAATAGATCATTTTAAGTCTTCTAATGGACATTTAAGAGCATTCCATGAACATAATCAGGAGCTCAAATAGAAAAATACTTGATGTTTAAGGAAATTAATGAAAATATTAAACATTTCAAATACTTTTATTCGGAAGAAAATATAACCTATTGAAAATTGTTATTAAAATTTTTTCGTGGGATTCTCTCTCCTTGGCCCTCTTTAACAATGCCTGTATGGATATTTCCGTTTCTTTCCTCGACATGGCCGTATTTGCCTTCTCAGCTGAACCTAAAAATAATTTAATTCCTTATTTAAAATGAATGGCAGATCAATATGAAAATGCAATATGTATTCGAATTATTCATTTCCTAGACAATAGCTCTCATAAAATATGATAATTAAAATTTAATACCTCTAGTCTAGTACATACTCAAAATAATAGAAGTTGTCAAAAATTACATAGAAAAACATGAATTCTACCACCAACTCCCTGTGTTATATGAAAAAAAGGCAATTTTTTAGAATTTTCCTGTTTTTCCATGAGAATTTAAAATCAGCTTTGGCACCAAGTATGAGGCATCTAACATAGACAGTGTATTACTCTCTTATGATAAGTTGAGTAATTTTCATATTCGTCCTAACCAACTATATTTCATTGCTTCTTCATTATGAAGCAGTGAAGTCAAAATACGCTTTACCGTATTGTAATTGTTGGTGCCCCCCATTTTTGCTAATTCATTCACCTGAAAAGTAATTTTTTACTTTCCTATCTGTATATAGATAAGGAAAGTATAGGAATCAAGATTTTTTCGACCTCCAGTTTTCGACGATTTTTACGTTTTGGGGTCCCCTGAATCCGTTTCGAATATTTTCGCGATGATTTCTGTCTGTGTGTGTGAGTGCGTGCGTTCGTGCGTGCGTATGTGGGTCTGTCTGTGTCTGTATCCCATAACTCATGAACGGATACGAATAAAAACACCAAATTTTAAACTTAAGCTTTATTCCGGCCTCCAATCAACAGATTAGATTTTGAGCATAGTCGGAACATCTGGGGGGTACTTTATGGGTAGTCATTTTTATATTTTATGGAATATGTTATTTACGTTTGGAGAAGAAAATTCTTCAAACATTATGATAAAGAAAAAAATATAAAATTTAAACTTAAGTTTTATTTCGGCCTGACGTGAAATGATTAGATTTTGGACAAAGTCGGAACATCTAGGGGTACTTTATGGGAGGCCGTTTTTATATTTTATGGAATATATCTGTTATTTATCTTTGGAGAAGAAAATTGTTCAAATCAAAGTTACTTCTAATATTATTATCTATAATTTTTATTTTATATCAAATTTTTCTGAAATGGTCCATATTCGAGAAAAAGCATCGGGCGCTCGATGTACGAGAAATTTGGACAAAGCGCCCCACGCTTTTTTCACAATAATACTAGTATTTTCCATTTATTATTGTTTTAAGCTTATTTGAAAAATTATTTTTAACTTTTTAGTTTGATATGCTCTAAAAGCGTGTTTTTTAGTTTTTTTACACTATATTTATTTTTCACTTTTTAGTTCGATGTATTATAAAAGCGTGTTTTTTAGTTTTTTTAAACTATATTTATTTTTTACTTTTTAGTTCGATAAATTATTAAAAAAAATTGAAATTGCTGAAAAAAAATTATTTTTTTTTTCAGCCGTGGGATTATAACCCACGATCGGTGAGTCTGGCGATCGAAAACCCGCTCCTTAGACCCCTCGGCTAACGAACGAACTTGAGGTAGTGGGATATACTGACAGTAATAATCCACTTGCTTTTAGTCCAAAGGAGACTTATATACATACATACAGGTGAAGCTAATAATAAAAGCACAACTACTTATCTATAAATAAAACAACTTACGAATTTAGATTTATGATTTATTTATTTAATTTCACTATAAAGTTTATTCTTCAACAATTTCTTAAATTGTACGAAAATATATAGTTATATCTAAATGTAAGGCAACATATATCATATAACATTAAAATATATAAAACATTTTAAACCAAAATGAGGCTATTCTACATAGTAGCAATATTTAACAACTTTCGTTGTGTAAAAAACAAAACTGTTTCCTTCATTGATTTTATGAATTTGTTTCTATATGGATAAAGGAATGTTTATTACATTTTTGGATGTATTTTTCTAGAAACAAAGTTTCAAAGTCCCTTGATTTTTGATTTCAGTATTTTAAAATCTTTAAAGGTAATATAAAAGATATCTAGGAAGTAACTCAATTAAATATTTTTGTTCTAAATGCACCCAAAAAGGTGTGCGCAAAGGAAGAATTATGGGTCACAAATAAATATGTCACCAATAAATAATGCAAAATTATAGGTAGAGTCCATTGCATTAGATAAAAGTACATAGGCGTTATAGATGGCAAGAGTCTCAGAAACAAAATTTTGTGTCGAGATAATGAGACTAAACTTGATAATTGGTTTAGTATGAAAATCGCATAAAAAATTCGTCCCCTACCCTTTAGTTGATATAGAGGGGGGGCGTCAAATCCAAAATTTAATTTTTTCCAAAAATGTTGGACTTAAACTGTCATAGTTTGGATGTGGTATTTCAACAAAATAGTTACAGAGGAGATAAGAAACTAATTGTGGGAACATTTAAATTACAACGTTTCTGTATAAAAATCTTACCTTCATCATCTCTCCTAGAGGTATATGGAGGGGGTGATATCCTCGAAAAAATTAGGTTAAATTTTTTTATGTGAAATCTACAATTTTTTCTACATATATACCCAAAATTTCAAATTTTTTCGATTAAAATTTTCCCTCCGATTCAGTTTAAAAATTTTTTAGTCCAAAGTATGAGAAAAAAAATGTTTGTCAAAAAATTTAAAACTTTGGGTAGATATACAGAGTGACCCAGTTGAAAGCGGGTCACCCTTATAAATTTTTTATCTATGCAGCGATTTTGACGAATTTTGTTTTTTGAAATGTGGATGGGGAAAGGTGTATTTTGGAGTAAAATTTTTTTAAAATTCAAGTCCTACTAGATCACATTTAAAGGCTGAAAAATCCACAATCCAAATTACCGATTTTTTAGAAGAAAAAAATGCGTACGCCACTGGAATTGGCATCTCCTGAAATAGATCTGTACCAAGTTTGATCCAAAAATATTCAACATTAAAGATTCTATGAATAAATTACTGACAAGTTGTCATGAATTAAAAACCTATTTATCTAGTAAGCCATGCAATAATAAAAATTATTCAATAGGCATTGTTTAAAAAAAAAAACTGGACGCCGTATGGTTCCAAAATACACCTATCCCTTCTCCACATTAAAAAAAAAATCGTCAAAATTGCTCCATAAAAAATAATAAATTTATGAGGCTGATCGCTTTCAAATGGGTCACTCTATATGTAGAAAAATCATAAATTTCAATTGTTTCATTTAAAAACTCTTTTTCGGGGATACCATCCCCTACATCTTTCCCTAGGAGATGGTGGGGGCAAGATTTTTATACAGAAACGTTTGAAATCAGGACTATTATAAATTTTCTAAAAATGAGATTTTAATCTCCTCTATTACTATTTTTAAATATATCCAAACTGTAACGGTTCAAGTCCAAACAAACGTTTGATAAAAAAAAAATTAAAATTTTGGTTTGTACGTAGAAAATACCCTAGATTTCAAACTGTTTTCTTGAAAAATCTGCAACCTGCAACTTTATTTTTTGAGAATTTATTTTATGCAATTTTCATATTTATGAGATAATACAGCCATATACCAAGTTTGGTCTCATTATTTCGATCCGATCTGCCCCAGACCCAAGAGCCGAAACCCAACAAAAATTTGGCCTCAACAAGTAATGTCCCAATATATAACACGCTCCCCTTATATCCGAGGTCTGATCAAAAAATAACCGTTATTTTCAAATTTCGTGAGTTACGTATGTTCGATTTTCGCATTTTTTTTCTGTTATGTTGGTACACATATCTGTTATATATGTTGGCAATATCAGCCATTTTGGATTGTTAGTTTGTTTTTGACAGATAAAAAGGTTAGTCGTGTTTTGGTCTGCTCTTCGATTTTTTACTATTCGAAAAAATGGATCAAAGAAACTGTATTAAGTTTTGTGTAAAAAATGAAATTAAATGCGCAAGGACATTTGAAATGTTAACTGTGGCGTTTTGCGAGTCTACTATGAGCAGAACACAAGTTCAATTGTGGTATAACCGGTTTAAGGAAGGCCGAGAAGATGTCAATGACGATGCTCGTCCTGGTCACCCGAACACGTCAACAACCGATGAAACCATTGAAGCAGTG